GTAAATCAGTCTCAAAACAAGATCAAAAAAGACTTTTTTGGCTGATATAAGATTTTAAAACTTGGCTAGGTGGACATTTTTTCCAGTGTAAAACAATGTGAATCCCACCTCGCCTGCGGGTAATTAGAATATTTCAACAAACAACACCCTGAAGTCTTTGAAAGTTACTAAAAAAAGTCCTAAAATTTGCAAAACACTTGCTTAAAATATAAAATAATAAATGAATGAGCTGAAAGTATCATGAAGTTAAAACAAATCAGATAAACAGGAAAACCACAGWGTGAGTGCTGACTCAGCGTTTCCACTGATAATKTACGTTGAAGGAAAACACACAGAATATCAGCTTTTGTTTAATAAAACAAACCTTATGACAGAGGACTCCACGTTACTCTGCTCAGCGTCGGACACCGTCTGTCGAGCCATGGCCTCCCTGGCTGCCAGCTGCTTTTTCTTCAGACTCTTCAGATTATGGGACGGAGACCATTCCTGTGGAAACACGCAGGACAACCATTAAAGCCATTGAAACAAACATCACTTGCTGACATAAAGGAAAAATAATTACAGCGTAAAAAGCAACTTAGGACAGAGAGGAAGAAAGAGCCAATAGCTGCTCGTATAACAGCAGAGTTATGTCGCTTCTTGTCAAAGACCTGCAGCACAGTGTCCATAGTCTGGTTGACCCGAGGCTATAATCAATATGGAAATGAGACAGCAAWATGAGGCTAGGGGAGGCAGCCATGGATTATTAAGTTTATTGCTCTTTTTATTTGCACTAGGGAAAACTTTACGACCCTCTCGCGAAGTTTGTCCAGTATAACTCTTCTTTTATGAGAATTTCTCGGTCCTAATGAAGCCACTGTGAGGCCTTTGCTGAGCCTGGTGAAATTTTCTGGACTAATCTTTGAAATGTTCCACACAAACAAGTGCTGCATGAGAGRCCATCACAGCAACGGAGGAGTCCGCAACAGATACTTCTGCAGCTCTGAAAATGGGCTTGATTTCTAATCACTGGGTCTGAGAAGTGGTGCCAATTGAAGGATGGTCTTAATCTGCAATATAAAGTGAACCCCTGCAAAATCGCGAGTCACAGTTTGCGGACTCAGGATTTTGTGGATTTTTCATGAATACCGTATGTAAAGATGGGAACGTAATTTTTTTCCTTGGACTTTCTGTCAGTTTTCAAGCTAAATTATTAACAATATAATTTATTAATTTTATTTTATGTAAAATCAGTTTTATATAAAAAATATACAGAACAGTACAGTAGCTGTGTTTCCATTACAAATG